GAGTTGCCTTGCGTATGAATTGTGTAATAAAAATAAACTTGCCATGCCCATTAAAACACATGGCAACCAAAAGGTAGCCTGAAAGTTAGACTATAAGCCACTACTTTTGCAGACAGAGTTCTATCAGCTGTTTATCTCTAGAGCTGATGATGCGGCACACATTCCTGCTGCCCGGTGTGTTTATGTGAACAGCAGAACACAGGGAGGTGCTTGGAAAACACACAGGGATTGGTTTTATGTGAATATTTTAATTGTCAGAGCAGAGTTGGATGTCTGTACAGCTCATATAGGAACTGCAGGCATGATGGTAAGTTGCTTGTACCAATCAATGTCTTTCCAGTACAACCAATATAACAAAATCCCACTGGAATACACGCCTTAGCCTTATGCCACCTACTATTTGTGTTCATAGATGAAAGTATAGCTTGTATGCCTATGAAAATGACAAGGGAGAGAGCGCTAGTACCAAGAGGCTCAGAGCTAAAAGGAAAAATAAAAAAAATCCTGGCTCATTATCAGCCATCTATTTTATCTACTCCGAAACATCTCTCGACTCCCAGTTGTCAGACATCAATGGTGCTCAAATTAATCCTGTGGGCTCCTGTTTGCACAATAAAGATATGGAAGGGTGCCTCTGATATTTGTGCCACTTTACACTTGGAGTAATTGAATTAGCACACAAATCAAGCTGCTGCATTGTCAGAGGGTTGGACTGAATGAGAATGTGCATTAGAGGGAGCGGGGTTCTTTCAACACAACGTCAACTTTATTCTAGGAAACAACAATGCATTTGTTTGAGCTTTTTATACACGAAGAGAAGTCTATGTTAAAAGTGCATGTAAGCAACTTTATGGAGATGTCACTACTACAATATTCCGTTAAAAATAGAGCTATAATTTTGAGTTACACGGTAGAAGTTACTTTATTCAAATATTTGTTTCATTTTTTTGTCTTTAACGTATCAATAACACTCTGGTGAATTGTAAAGCCAAAGGAACAGTGTAATTTTTAGGTTGAAATATTACACACAAGGACTTTGAAATTGATACTGTCCAATATTTTTATTGTATGATGTTTGTATTTATTCTTAAACAATTTAACTGACTTATTTGATGTGGCAGTGTAATGGTTTCAAAGCTGTATTCTTTTTTGTCATTTTGGTATATACCCTTTTTAAACTTTGTGTAAACTTTGTGTTGGGCCAAGGTATTACATTTCAACTAAGGCCCTGTCCACACGAAGTCAAGCTCAGGCCTAAACGCAAAAATACTTTATCAATCCAGTGTATCGTCCATACGAGGCCGGCGTTTTGGGGGGGTGTAAACGAACATTTTTGAAACTAGGTCCCAGAGTGGAAAGATTTCAAAACTCCGTATATGCCGCTCCGTGGTTACTGCCTCTCCGCAATGTATCTGAGACGCTTGCGTCATCGCCCCGCCTCTTGTTAAAGCACGCATGCGCCGCACTCAGAAAATAATGACAACAACAATGTAGCTTGTTGGTTTTGTAATCCAGTGCGACCCGAAGCAACAGTTCAACCTCATCGTCTGTCCATACTAATGTAGTACCAGCTCGCCCACTCGCCATGTTGTCTGTTTACAAAATTCCGCGCATGCCCAGTTCCCGTCACGGAAGTTTGGGCTTGATCCCGTCATTGCGTCACAGCGCCACCAACAGGTCTGGCATAGTTTCACAGCGTTTTCAGGCGTATTGACTACATTCATATGGACGCACACATTTACTGAGCTAACTCCGTGTTTACAGAAAAAGTTTCTGAAATTATAAGCGTTTTGTCTTCGTGTGGATATAGCCTAAAACTTACATTGATATGAGAAAAGGAATGTGATACCAAATATAAAAATACTTTTTTATGAGACCAAACCCACTGTTTAACATGTTTAACTGTTTAAAAACGGTCAACTTCCGGTGTATATATTTTTCTGTATTATAATTTAAAGTAGTATCTGAATTTCGATAATTTTGACTAGACGTTTTTGTTTTGACTAATGCAGTTGCTTTAATTGCACAGCCCTATAAAAGTGAAGCTTAGAAATTAGAATCATTCCAAAGTTTAATTATTTCTGTACTTCTGAATACTGATTCCCCTTCTCTCATCCCACAACACTGGTTGCCCATGCTTTCTCAGACTGACACTCAATTACCAAACGTTAAAAAGCCTTTCGCCCATAATCGCCTCTCAGCCCGACCTTCTCCCTGCTCGCGGATGACGGCGATGATGCTTTCAGGTTAGGGTTTAGGGGGGCACGGCCAGACCGGCGGAAAACATATTTGCGGTATCATTTCCATACGCACCGGTGCGCAAATGTGATTTATGACCTTGGTTTAATGGCCAGAGCAGAGTCTTGGTGGATATCGGATGACTTTTCCAATATGGCCGACGTCAGAAGGGGCGCGTTGAATGCACCATCACAACAGGAAATGTGGGCTTGTCTCGGGCCAAGAAAATATGAGAAGGCAGATATCTGATCATCTAATGGCATGATAGACGCTACTTCACTTTGACAGAAAAGGCATGAGTCGATAGCGGCCAGATGAGGAGGCTACATGGAAAAAGCGATGCCATGGATTTCTGCCGGTCTATACGGGATCATTAATTTGTATCATAGTGCGCTGGTTCGGCCCGATTTGTGTGGGTGTGTGTCTGTGTGTGTCTGTGTGTGTATCATGCATCAAGGCCAGATCCTGTTTCAGTAAATGTATGAGAAAAACAATAAAATGATTGGCTGAAATGAATAATGTGGAATGATTCATGCTGCGCTGCACTAATGCCGAGCTCATGCAATTCTGTTTTATTTGCTTCTCAAATTTTCGGTGGAAATGTGGACTATGGATTTAATCGACGATCAATCTTAAAAATGCACTTTCTTAGTGTAGGGTTAGTTTTTTTTTTTAGGGTTTTTTTTGCTCAGGGCCATCTGAGTAAGGTGCAAGTCACGTCTGCGGAGAAGAGAGCAATGTAGGAATTCAGGTTTTTGATCAACCAAAATATTCGTAATTAAATAATGTAGAAGGATTGATACAATACTGAGGTACCAAGTATGGACCTGTATACAAGGGGACTTTCAATTGGATAAAGTTCTATAAATGAATATAAAAAAATATATTATCAGATTCAGATTCAGATTAATTTATTTGCCATTTGCAGTAAAACCACTTTGGGGTAGTCTTGCACAGTTTTTCCAGTGTGCACCAGACAGAGAAGACGACACACACCAGAGCTCTCGCCACGGCGCCATATTATGTTGATTCTACTAAATAAAAAGCAATATTGAAATGATTCTAAAATTAAACATTGATTTTGTAGCATAGCCCTTGTACTAGGAAAGTTACAAGGCAGATTCCGTGTTTCTGTGTTGTCTCTTGGTGGATTTCCTCCGGGCGCTCCGATATCCCCCATCACCCAAAACATAAAGCAGAAGTAAAATCCTCCTTGGTATTGAAGGATGGGTCAAATGCAGAGGACAAATCTGCCTTACTTTCCAAGCAAAGGAAAAACATATCCATAGCAACCCTCCATAGCAAATAGCTTTACAAGAATTGAATGGCTCAATCGGGATATTGGCCAAACCGATACCGGAGCCAACACATTTTAATTGCTCAATATTCTATACCAGTATGGGTTTGATAAGTGTGTTCATGTTTATACCACCACACATTCGCAGTCCTCGTTCTATAGCCACAGTCCTGGATCTATAGCCTGTCTTTGGGAACTGACCCTTCTCTCAACATGAGCCTCCCCAAGGTTTAGCACTTTTTCCCACTGCTTTTTGGGTAGCTCCTTGCTGATGCAGGAGGGTCTAAAGGACAGTGATGATCTGGGACGTTTCAAGGACATTTATGGACACACATTAAAGGAGCTGTTTATAAAAATCTGGCCAAAGGTGGTACTGCAGCCTCTCCCACTCTCCCGGACTCAGGTTGCCAGATATGCTGACGAATCCAGGTGGGAACATAATATCTATATAGACAAGAGTTTTGTCAACAACAAGTCTATAACCAAGACCTTTTTCATAACGGCTCGGATAGAAATTCTGGTTTTATTCTTTGTTTTGTCACTAACTATTTGAGAATCATAACGAGACCTTTTTTAGTTCTGTTCTGTTACTTTACCAGTGAGATTTGCTCGGCACAGTGAGTTCTGGCAACCCGGATCACAGACTTTCGGATTGAAAAAACAGTGGAGGGCGGGACATGGAAATGAAGTATTCGAAAAGAGTATGGTTTATTAATACCTTTAGACAAGTTAGAGCCATAGCCAGAGTCTTACTTATTGCTACTTTAACATTATGGACAGTGTCATGTATTTTTGTATTTATATTTGTATTCTCCTTATGTATTTGCTATTAATGCATTTCCTGCGTTCCAACTGTTTGATTCTCTGTTCTGTTGTTGGCTAATCATATACTTAATTCAAGTCCTCCGAGACAACTACTGTGATGATTTAGGGCCATACAGAAAAAAAATGAATTGTGCTCATGAGTATTCAGTTAACAATGACATAACCTATTTTCACAAATTAACAAGCATGAGACCAACTCCAGGTCACCATCGTTAAAAGCTCAAAAAATGTCTCTTGCTTTGACACATATAATCAGAGCAAAATGTGTTTTTCCCCAGAGCCTGGACAGATTTTTTGTGAAAGAAATCCCTTCTTGAGTTCTGTAACCAATTAGAAATGTACTATCTGAGAAAGCATAAGTGTCAAGCTAATGTAGAAAGCTGCGCTCTTAAAGTGAAAGAGAAAAGTGCATCCTGTAACAACATCTGAATGAGTAGGATTTAAATATGTGTGAGAAAGTCAAGTAGCACAGTGGTTCCAAGCCAGATGGTCGGTCGTGGGTTCGAATCCCGGTCAGCACAGAGCTTTTCTGCCTTGTGTACGAGGTCTTTTATTCATTTCCTCTTCAACAAATCTAATCTTAGTTTTGAGGCCAGCATGAGCAGTATTATGCTGTGCTGTACAAATATAGCACACTCACCTGGGCCTGGAAACTCTTGAGAACAGGTGCCACCATCTCCCGGACTTCCTGAACACACAGAAAATAAAAGCACACATTCAGCTGGATTCGCGGCTGCAGATGCTCCACCTGTTTAAGAGCAGCACGAACAGAGCAGAGGAGATGTTCATGTGGAAGAGATTATGGTGATGTCATCCTCCCATATAGATGTGCTGTATATCACAAACGTCTTACACTGGGCTACACTTTGCTACATCATTCTTACAATCATCCAGAAGGAAAATCCACAGATCATAATATATAATGTATGAGTATTGCAACTTTATGAAGTGAGCAGCTTTAGACTTCAGCCCATTGTTCATCAATGTAATTTCACATTTTTACAACCCTCAAAAATCAAGAGAAAGGGCTGGGGTTAAAACACAAAATTTTATTTTATAACTTTGTGTTTGATTTAAAGGGACAGTATGTAAGATGCACACTTTGCAAATACGACCCACCTGCTTTAGTTTAACTAGTACCACTTCATTTGAATATGCGTGGTGAAAAAACATCAAAACCTCACAAGCTTACGACCCAAATGAGAGCCTCATTCTGCTCTGATTGGACAATCTAGCGCTTTTTGGGACACTCAAAGATGCTTTACATACACGGTGGTGATAAACTACTACTGTAGCCACAGCTGCCCTGGGGCACACTGACAGAAGCGAGGCAACCAGTATGCACGATCAGCCCCTCCGACCACCACCAACCATTCACACACACACCAGACCCATTCTAGGCAATGGGGGTGAAGTGTCTTGCCTAAGGACACAACAACAGCAGACAGTGGGAGTCGATGGTGAAGGTCGGGCTCGAACCCAATGCTCAAAGGCCAATGCTCTACCAACTGAGCTACTGTCCCCCCCAGCATCTTCTTCTTGTGGGGTCACAAATAAAATATGTAGATATAATTTAATTATTTAATTTTCTTTGAACTTTATGTGTTTTTCATGTTTTTTGGAAAAGTATAGAATTGATCACTGATTTTCCGTTTCTTTTCAACTGCATTTTCTGATTTGTTTATGTCCATTGGCGCACTGCCCTGCGGAAATTGGAAATCCAACATTATTGGAAACGCTTTCACAATTTCCAAGATCTTGCTGACATGTAGTTGTTTGCAGATAGTAAAATGCAATGAAGTCACACTCGTAGAAGGAGACAGCACTATTCCTCTATGAAGAATATGAAGAGCCAACTATTCCCCGTGATCGATTACGGACTAAAAAGTGGGTGTGGCAGTCAGAACGATCACCTTATCTGACCCAAAATACACTCACATTACACAGTGACAAAGCCTTTTATGTGTGCTGCTGTTTTGCTTGTTTTAATCATTTTTCCCACCAAGTCCTGTACAACAGTTTGGAAACTTTTATAATGAAATGTGCTATATAGATAAAGTAGATTGTTCCCTTATCATTGAAAACATGTACAATAGAACAGGGTGAATGAGTGTGTGTTTGTGAGACAGAGAGAAATTAGAGTTTTTTAACCTATTAGAAAACATGATAGAAAGAGCCCTGAGCTGATTGGCTGAGTGAGGGTGGTTCTCTCTTTTGCACTTCATTCTGATCTAAAGGTGTGACAATGACCAAAACACATGCATTTGAAAACTAATGATAGAACCAAACTGTTTTGAGAGCGAGGAACTAGTTATGTGTTATACAAATGTTTACTTTCATTCTTTTTGTGGTATCAAAGTTACGTACCTCAGCTTTAACCTGTCATTTCATATACAGTTAAAATACAGTTATAATACAAAGTTAAAAGCAATCTGGACAGGGAGGGTGTGGTTATATGACTACAATAAATAATAAATCCTCAGATACCTCACAAAAACATATGGTGTATAACAGTTGAACTTAAAGATCAACTAAACACCAGTGCCCAGCCTGACTCTGCCCACATGAACATTTGAAAATTCTCCCCAAAATGGGCGTTGCCCAGGAGGACCGAGGGACAAGAAGGGGGGCTTAGAGTTGGGCGTGGCGTGGGCTTTGATTGACGGCTCTCTTGTAACTATGGAGAGTGACAGTGTCAGCAGCTTCGCGACCGAGCGCTCTTTTGAGGTGGAGGACTTTTCTCCACCTTCATCACCAGAGGTGGAAGTGGAGGAGGTTAATGTGGAGGAGTCCGGCGGCCCTGAGCCGTACATGTTTGAGCCGATGGCTCGCTTGTTATCCGAGGCCACCGGTGCAGCTAGCACTGACGAGCCTTCCGAGGCATCAGTGCAGCACAGAATGGGTCCCGTTACTGAATGGTACATTGGTGTTAGCATTATTGATAATATTTTTATTTGATGTAGAACAAAAGAGATGGATATTGTGGTTAGGGTTACACACACATGACTCTAATTAAAAGTATATTGTGTCCGCTCTACCATTATTAAAATAAATAAGAAAATAACACTTTTTAGGGCTTTCAAATGCATACAGTAAGTAATTTTCAACAATAATGTACTGTCTCTCCAATTCACATAACTACCACCTGTAGGAGAATAGTGAAGCCAAGTTTGGTGGTTTGAAAGTTACGTACTGCCGCTTTAATCAGTCATTTTATATATTTTTTTATATACACCAACTAAATCTTCACTTCTCTCTCAAAATCATATTGTTGATAAGAGTTGAAAATAAGACTTTTTTCCTTTGGGCTGACCCAAGCCTTTACATTCCACTCTAACTATTTTATGTTTTATTCAAAGCAGCGACAGAAACTGAATACATGGATCTACAGCCTCAGTCCTGGATCTACAGCCTCAGTCCTGGGTCTACAGCCTCAGTCCTGGATCTACAGCCTCAGTCCTGGATCTACAGCCTCAGTCCTGGATCTACAGCCTCAGTCCTGGGTCTACAGCCTCAGTCCTGGGTCTACAGCCTCTGTCCTGGGTCTACAATCTCAGTCGTGGGTATATAGCCTCAGTCCTAGATCTACAGCCGCAGTCCTGGATCTACAGCCTCAGTCCTGGATCTACAAGCCTCAGTCCTGGGTCTACAGCCTCAGTCCTGGATCTACAGCCTCAGTCCTGGGTCTACAGCCTCTGTCCTGGGTCTACAATCTCAGTCGTGGGTATATAGCCTCAGTCCTAGATCTACAGCCGCAGTCCTGGATCTACAGCCTCAGTCCTGGATCTACAAGCCTCAGTCCTGGGTCTACAGCCGCAGTCCTGGATCTACAGCCTCAGTCCTGGATCTACAGCCTCAGTCCTGGATCTACAGCCTCAGTCCTGGGTCTACAGCCTCAGTCCTGGATCTACAGCCTCAGTCCTGGATCTACAAGCCTCAGTCCTGGGTCTACAGCCTCAGTCCTGGATCTACAGCCTCAGTCCTGGGTCTACAATCTCAGTCCTGGGTCTACAGCCTCAGTCCTGGATCTACAATCTCAGTCCTTATAGAGTTAGAGAATGTATTTCATTTCATTTTAGTATAGAGTTATTATTCATTAATCTTCTCCTCATTCTACTGTTCTGTAACTGGTGATGCAAAACTAAAATGTATGAATGAAGGATCTCCTAATCTTAAATTCTACAGCCCTAATTATAAGCAATTGTGTCCGCTCTACAACTAAATAAGACCCAACACTTATTAGTCCTTTCAAACGCAGCGATATCATCTGAACCCCGGCCTTCCCTCTCTGTGCGCACTCTGTATCACAGCCTCAAACCCAAAGAGCTCGAGTGGACTTCTTTTCAAAGTGTGTTTTTCCAGTAGCTGCTTTAGCGCCATGTGAGCTGCTACTGACCGCCTCAGGTAAAGGGATTGTGCTGCCATTCGTGACAGCCTGATCCAGCCTTAAACGCTCGCATTACAGCCACAAGATCACAGCGCTGTATCTCCCAATCAAACTCTCGCAGACAGGCTGAATCCCACACAGCAAATAGCCCCCAGGCTCATTTATTAAATATCTAATCGCTGCCTTTGACTTGAGCCAAGACGTCAATGTGGCTCAAAGAAGACTGAAGTGGATCCTGCCTTTACTGTTCATAGTCGTAATGACAGTTGAATGTGTGGGAAATAATGTGAAAAATGGTTATGTGTTAAGAGACAAACAGTTTTTTTTTCAAGTTTCAATCTAATGATGTGATTAAAGATGCGATTTATGCTGTATCACAATATCACTTTTAAGGGCCAGATTTAAGACCAGATTTGATCACAGTTTTTATCATATATATCATTTAGCACTGCAAATGATGAGAAATGCTCAAATTTGACAAAATGTTTTTTCAATTTGGGCACATTCTGGCTGCCTTAAAACAAGATTTGGCAATGGGACAAGCATAATTGTCTTGTTTTAAAAGATACAAGAAATGTCTCCTTTGGAATGACAAAAGAAAACAGTAGTTTCTGACATAAGACTAAATGGCTTTGTCCCATCGGATATTTTTAAAGGTACACTGTGTAGTTTTTACTCCCATCTAGCATTGAGATCATATATTGTCATTTACGGTACTTCTGTAGCTTCGCAGGACCAACTCCCGCTCAACTTCTTTTTGTCCCTTATCAGCCACTGTATTTCAAGATGGCGCCTTGACATGTAGAGTCCTCCAGCCTCATGGACTTTTAGAAGTCAAATTCTAAGCCTATGACAACAATTCAAAAACATGGTGGAGCTGAATATTCTTAAAAAGGTCACATTTGTTTTTGGTTTACATGTTTTTTTCTGTTTTTACTGTAAAAATTACACAGCGTACCTTTAAGACAGTCAGAATGTACAACTGAATGAGTGGAAAATTATAGGTTTATATGTCTAAGCATATTATCATCTCGCTTCTCAGCCAGAAGGTCCTGGGTTCAAATCCCAGTCGGTACAGGGTCTTTCTGAATGGAGTTTGAATCTTCTCCCCGTGCCTGCATAGGTTTCCCCTATACCACTAAAAACATGTACAATAGGTAAATCCTCCAGCTCCGGTCTTGACCAAGCCGAGTATCGCCGGGTGCTGCACTACGGCGCCCACTGCTGCACTACGGCGCCCACTGCTGAAGCGCAGGGATCTTTACCATGACTGTGTTTGCACCGGGGATTTTCTAATTTGTGCCTAAATTCTCCATCGCCCTCTGGTGGTAGCGCAGGGAATACAGGCCGATAGCATTATTATTCACCCTTCGACATTTATTTTCTACTAAAGATATCAAAATATGAAAGGACAAAGTAAAAAGTCTCATCATCATTTCAATAGTAGTAGTAAGTAGTAATCTTTATTTATATACCGCCTTTTCACTGCAGATCTGAGTCTCAAAGCGGTTTACAATTGTTATTTTATGGGCACTTGTCTCTCACTCCACACAGAGATGGGAGCGGGGTCGCCAGTACAGGAGGCGCATGCTAGAACTATTGGACATATTTTTAGTGGTAGGGGAAACCGGAGTACCCGGAGGAAACCTACGCAGACACAGGGAGAACATGCAAACTCCACTCAGAAAGGCCCTGGTCCGACCGGGATTCGAACCCAGGACCTTCTTGCTGAGAGGCGAGAGTGCTATCCACTCAGCCACCGTGCCGTGTCATATTTGTTATTTATGACACATGTTATTATTGCATAGTCATAAGAAAGACTAAATAAAAATATATAGTCTCAGTAAGCACATCCTCCATTTTGCTGCATATTTCATCTCATGTCTACAATGTGCAATCCTGGCATTTACTCTAAGATTCAGGAGTTATTTGCCTGTTGCCATGCGGGAGCCATTCCACTGATATTAAGCTCATAAATTCCATAGTAAAAAGTTGTATGGATTTGCCTTGAGTGCGGACGGCTCTGACTTATCCCGGTGAGTGAGTGGTGTGGTGGTGTTCTGGGGGCTCACCTCCGGGACATTTCTCTTGAACTCTCGGCTCAGCTCCACCAAGTGCTTGTGGGAGTCCTCGCTCTCCTCCTGCCGGCCAGCCAGCTCCGACGCCACCGAGTTCAGCTCTCTCTGCAAAGACAAGAAAAGGTGAAAATGTGCGGGTGAGGATCGGGAAGAGAATATATGATTTCGAAATTTGGGCTCAAGAGATGGTCAGCACTTGATAATATACGGAATCGGGACGGAAGCGGAAGTAAATATAACCAACTACCTAAACTAATAGATTCATGCCTAAACTGAACCAGCCATTCCCATAGAGTAACCACAACCCACCCTCAACCCTACCTTAACCATCTTACTCAGACCACCTTAACCCTAACCTTAACCATCTTACTCAGACCACCTTAACCCTAACCATCTTACTCAGACCACCTTAACCCTAACCATCTTACTCAGACCACCTTAACCCTAACCTTAACCATCTTACTCAGACCACCTTAACCCTAACCTTAACCATCTTACTGAGACCACCTTAACCCTAACCTTAACCATCTTACTCAGACCCACCTTAACCCTAACCTTAACCATCTGACTCAGACCCACCTCAACCCTAACCTTAACCATCTGACTCAGACCCACCTTAACCCTAACCTTAACCATCTTACTCAGACCACCTTAACCCTAACCTTAACCATCTTACTCAGACCCACCTTAACCCTAACCTTTACCATCTTACTCAGACCACCTTAACCCTAACCTTAACCATCTTACTCAGACCACCTTAACCCTAACCTGAACCATCTTACTCAGACCACCTTAACCCTAACCTTAACCATCTTACTCAGACCACCTTAACCCTAACCTTAACCATCTTACTCAGACCCACCTTAACCCTAACCTGAACCATCTTACTCAGACCACCTTAACCCTAACCTTAACCATCTTACTCAGACCCACCTTAACCCTAACCTTTACCATCTTACTCAGACCACCTTAACCCTAACCTTAACCATCTTACTCAGACCACCTTAACCCTAACCTTAACCATCTTACTCAGACCACCTTAACCCTAACCTTAACCATCTTACTCAGACCACCTTAACCCTAACCTTAACCATCTTACTCAGACCCACCTTAACCCTAACCTTTACCATCTTACTCAGACCACCTTAACCCTAACCTTTACCATCGTACTCAGACTACCCTAACCTTAACCATCTTACTCAGACCACCTTAACTCTAACCTTAACCATCTTACTCAGACACCTAAAACTTAACCAATAACCACTTCAGGATTTATGAGTCATTCAACTTATTTCTATGAATTAATTGACCTAATTAATAATAACAGATTGGTTTTATATAGCACTTTTTGGACACTCAAAGACACTTTATTCAGTCACTCCAAACACAGTGCGGATAAACTACTACTGTAGCCATAGCTTCCCTGGGGCAGACTGACAGAGGTGAGGCAACCATTCACACACACCAGACTCAATGTGGGTGAAGTGTCTTGCCTAAGGACACCACAACAGTTTGGCTCTGTGAAGAAAGGCACAAGCGTCTGTCCCTGACTCTGAGTTCAGGGGAGAGAATAATAAGCCCCTGCAGCCCCATGATCAGTGTCTGTTGTCAGAGAAAAGAAAGTTCAGTGTTCAAATTACGATTAAACAAACAAAAAATTCACAACAACTGGTGGTAGGTAGATATAAATAGTACACACACAAAAAAACTAGAAAATCCCACCCACCCAGTCACCACAAGGACTGACTGTTCACACCGGGAGCCAGTCCTTTTTAACTCCAATAGAGGCTGCAGTAGAGAGCTGGATGAAGCTGGAGAAAATGTCCTCGTACATTATCAAAGGCATGAGTGGCTTGTGTAAGTGGAAATCTTTTTTTTTAGGTGTGTCGCACAAGTAGGACATCTTGAGGCCATTATGAATGAGAAGAGAGAGCAGTGTCCTTCTACTTGAACAGGATGTACAGTTTGAGGCAAAGGACTGATACTGGATTTGGTCTCTCTCAACTTGAATGCACATATCACTGTATTATGGGGAAAATTCACAATTCACAATTTCTCCAGTGTGAGATCAATAAAGTCTTATCTTAGTTTTTTCATCTTTCAAATTTTGACACAGCCCGAATCCAATGTTTTTATTGTGTATGTCCATGTGGGATTATATGCAGGCAATGTTACACCTTTAGAAACTTACATTCAGATGCTTTAATGTGATTTTGAACAGTTCTTTACAAACAGACGGGAGGCAATTTAGGATGTCCCAAGATGAGAAACTTGAAGGAAAAACACTTTTGTTTTGGTTTTGTTTTCTCTCTACATATCACCATCTGTCCCTAAAGAGTATCCATTATTTAATGTAATCAACTTGCGTCCATAATTTATATGAGACGTTGCACTATTTTCTGCAGAGGCATTTTTCTTCCTTACAGACATGAAATCACGCTTTAAAACGGCATCTATATTCACCAAACACTGCAAACTATTATTCATCCTTTTGAGGGATTGTGTAAGGATTCCATCAAATTGAAGCCTGTTTCTTGATTTGTTTTGTGTATAAAGTCATATCCACAATATCTCAATGTCTCAATGTTTTTGTTCCACATATTTGCAATTTTAGCCATTTAACAAAATTTGACAAAAATAAAAAAGCCAACATAAACACTTAACACTAGGAGCGCCCCTAGCGGTCAACTGACCGTCACTCACTTTAATATGCTAATTAGTGTATTCAAAACAAAACGCCAGAAGTTGAAATTTTATGACTTTTTCTAGGTACTTGTTGTTTATATTTTGGTGTGTTTTGGTTTTGGAAAAAGTAAAGAAAACAAGATTTACACGCATTTTAACTTTTCTAAACCACAGCCCTTTCTGCTGCCCCATGGAGATACATGGTGCAGGGGCGACTGTTGTCATAGTAACCTTTCCCGGGGGTTTTTCGCGCCTTATAAAAATGTATCAATATGTTGTCATTAGACTCTAAAGGGACTTTTTTTTATTATTATTTGGGAGAGAGAGAGGAGTACAAAATGAATAGAGCTGCAAGTACACGGTAGAAGCCCTGACAGTGCTTCAAGACATTGAATGAGAACAGTCTGACTGAGGTGAGAGATGTCACATTTTGAGGTAGAAAGTGACAGCGGGGAGAACACCTATAATATTCTAAATCTGAACGTAAACCCATAGTGCATTCACGGCACGGACAGCAGTGTTGTAACAAGTCCAGAAGCAATAACGCACATGACCCGCGTAATGCCAGCCATACGCAGGTGTCTGTGTGCGCGCTGTTGCTCCATTCTGCCTTTTCATTCATCATCAATTACATTATTATATTTATACATACAAGAAGGCAATACAGCAGAATACAATATCGCAATAAAATAGAACAATTAGATGAACTATCAAGGCAGAGTGCAGAGAGAGCGCTGTGATCCTCTCGTCACCCGCGGACACCTGCAGGAGGAGAGCGACTGTGGCAGAAGCGGCCCTCATTATCAATAAGGATATCATTCTTATTTCATTCAGATAACACTGTGTGTTATTCTGCACAGCGCGCACTGCAAGGCAATGATTATAATGTTGTTCTGAGCATAAAGAGCACTGCTTGTCTCAAATAAATACAAATATATATACATATATTTGTACAAATATATATACATATATTTGTATTTCTAACGTGTCCCGTGTAAAATTGAAGATTGTACATTGGCGATGGTAGCCTAGCTGATGATCTTGTGTCAATACGAATATTATTATTATCTAGATAATATTTCCCACGGTGATTTCGGCCTCTAAAAAGAAAACAGTCTGGAGATGACGTAAGAAGTAGACGCATATAGCAGCGCGAAGACGTTATGGTCCCGTGCTTTTCTAAACTATAATTTATATTGTTTGAATTTTACATATTGTTATTGAGTCAAATATAACATATAGTGACCGACCTTTTAGGTGTTTGCAAAGTTACAAAATAAATCTAGCCTGAAAAGTCATCGTAATTTTGATGGATCAGTTTACGCACAATGTGTCGTCTTAGTCTTTTATTTCGGCTAGAATTACAATTACTTAGCATATTTAGACAAATAATTTACACAGTTTCATTATGATCACGATTCCTTTGCAACATCAAGTTCTGGTTTAGTGAACAATCAATTTGGCAAAAGTCTGTATCAGCGCAAAATACATAGCGGTCAACTGACCGCAGGGGGCGGTACAAGGTATGTTTAGAGCACGGCGGTCCTAGTGTTAAGTGTAGGCAGTTTTGAACGGCTGGGTTTTTGGGCAGTGATTTGAAGTTCTAAAGTGAGTCTGAGTTCCTGATGAAGAAAAGTAATTTGTCATCAACACTGAGGAGAAATCCCATATCAAGACTTTTCCTTCTATATCAGTAAAGATTGTCCAATATATCGAACCGATTTTGAAATATCAGTCATAACTTCTCTTAATGCTACCATGGTTTGTTATACCGCATTTTGAAAGCAATTTTTCTCATCTTGTATTTTAGCCTAAACAACCATATCAAAGCATAATAGTGATAATGTATTCACAAAACATAACAAAATCGAATAAAAATGTATAAGTAAATTCACAACCTAACAACATGCGCAAAAGATGAGCTATAAACAAACCTTTCACAAATAAATACTGGAAATTATTCAAGCATCAACATTCATTAAGGCATCATGAAAGAACCTTGAAAAATGTCTTATTTACCAACTAGCACATTAGCATTAGCCACCACCCCATGTTTATTTGCAGCCTTAAAAAAAGACCATTTATAGCTGGCCTTTTAAAAATCGACATGTCAAACCTCGCCACTCCCCTTTTTCCATAATGAGCACGAGACATAAATAAAATCATAACATTCATTAATTCCCAGCATCTTTTCTTATAGCACAAGTAAATGGTGTGGAGAGGGCACCTGGCCAAAGCTAGTCCCGTAACGCACACATAAATAAAAATACACGGCTGAATATTAACTATGTAATCCTTCATGATCTCACAGTGGTTCTACTTACAGCTAGCCCAGGCCCATAAATAATTAAGCCCAAATAAATCCAAAGGCTACAGTAGCAGAGGCCTTTTAGATAATCAGTATTTGAAGTAATCGATGGACTGGATATGGAGAGAGGGCGGGGAGAGAGAGTGTGAGTGGAAATGCACACATGTCTTCAAAAACAACACGGCTAACTCAATCTGGGATTTTAAAAGCATGGCCAGGACCTCGCTCCAAACAAGGGTCAAATCTATTTCCATCTTTTCGATCTCGCTCGTGGGTAGAACATGGATGTATAGATCGAGCAGCGATTTTCAATTCAGCAGCAGGAGCAAAAAACAAAGTCATTAAGGTCCTATTGGTTTAGTGGATTGTATCAGATGGAGTAGAAATGATATGAGAAACTATCAAACTACTACTACTACTTCTACTATTACTACTAACACTGCCTCTACTACTACAACTACTACTACTACCCCTATTATACTACAACTACTACCACTACCACCACCACTACTCACACTGCCCCAACGACTACTACTACCCGCTTCCCCAACAACTTCTACTCATACTACTACAACATTATTTTGTAAGAGCCATGACAACAAAGTGCCAGCATATCAGGTCACAGTAGAAAGCACCATTTTTTGTATGTTTTTACTGTATTTGTGCCAAAATGCCTGTGTGAAGATGCAAAATCTTACAAGTCTCAATTCACTTCAATGTATATTTGCACAACCCTAAATCAAAACAGCATTAGCCTTGGTGGACCTTACGAAGTTGTCGATTTGCCAACAGCAGATCAGAGAATCAGTACCACATATTAAGGGGGGGGGGGTTAGGGTGGTCTTGTACTTGGCACATGTAGTGGGCTTGTACTTGTTGCCAAGAATATGGGGGTTGTCTGAGCAATGGCTAAGTGACAGCAGGGAACTAAGGATAAGTCGCCTTTCATGAATCAGTCTGAAAGGGACTGTATGTAATATGCACCATTAGTGGTCTAAAAAAGTCTTATTATAAAGTCTTATATCTTCTAATTACAATCCAACTTTGATTCAAACCTGTCTGTGACTCCTAAACGTAATGACGGATTCCATCTGCAGGGGTTTAGCGAGAAACTGTACAAACGTTGTGTATTATGAACTACTAATATCTCACTCAAACAAATGTGTTTTTGTTTATGAATTTTGTCATTCAAAAAGACAAAGATGGAGGAATTTCACATATCAAATTAAATCCAATAATCTGCTTGAAAATTGAAATGATAAACATAATCGACATTTTGATTTTACTTGAGACTGGCTCCACAAATATAATCTATCATTTGGGGACACACATAAAAGGCATAGATGTACATACTGTCCCTTTACTAAGATTATGACATGCTTATCAAATCACTTAAAATCAAATTTACAAATGACGTTCCCTTTAGAAGATAATGTACACTATAATGTATCCTGAACACATCAAATACTCAATATGTACTTTCACATTTGAACCAACTCAACAAAAAGTATTAGAATTTCTTGTATTTCTTCCCAGCAGACTCCACCCTTTGACAGTGCGTCCAAAGCAGTGAACAATCATAGAAGCCTTGCATTCATGCTGGACTCAGCTGCACCCACCACCGCACGCCATCCACAAATCCGATAATATCGACCCGTCATCCAATTCCCGAGTGTTTCAGCGAACAGGAAAAACGCTTCTCTCTTGTACTGAGAAACCCAACCTCGAAACAAACATCCACATCGTCCCCAATTCAACACAATACAAAAACAGACAGTGGGGATTGTGAATTTCTATATGAAGTCTGCAAATTAAACGGACTGTGTTTTAATTAATGTGCGGTCTATCTTAAA